TGAAACCACCAGTGCACATACACTTAAAAGAGAAGTAGGAAACATCTTGTGTCCAGCAGGAAAACATTTTAATAAATGTGCATATGGAATTTCTAATGAAGAAGAAGTATAAGGATTGTAATGCCACATTATACTTCTTGTGGAGACACATTGTTCCAAGCAGACTATTTGTATTATGTCTTAATACATGTCTGAGGGGCTGTCTTCAGTATATGCTGTTTGTCCCACCTGTTGTTACTTCCATTAATATAATTTGGTGAGTAATTAGGCAAGCAGAGGCACAGCGAATGGTGTGTTTGTCACTGCAATGTAAATAATTATTTTTTTCCTTCTGTAGTATTTATTTTTAGATACTCTAAAGCTACACCCAGAGGGAATCAACTTAAATCAATCTGCACCATATGGCTGCCAGAGATTTCAGCTGGATATGTGTGTGTGTGTGTGTGTGTGCAACCACAAGATATACTCTGGTTTTGCAAGTATGTGACTTCCTGTGCTGACAGCAAGTACCATCATATGTAGAACACAAATTTCCATACAGATAGACTAGATAAGTCTATCTACAAATAAACAACATGAAATGAACTGCAGATTTACATCAGAAAAGCAAAATATCTATGCATGGATCAAAAGATATTTGTGTTGCGACTACTTAAATCTAGAATATTGTACCCACAAAATGCATTGCAAGCAGCATGACGTTATCGTTATCTGAAGTAAAGATGCAGTAGTCATGCTGTTAGAGTGTGCCTTGAGAGCTTTAGTGAGAAGGGAGATTTTAAAGTGGCACATTAAAAAAAGCAAGCCATAGCTGCAGCAGCCGGGTACTCAGGTCAGGTCACACATGGAGAGGCAGCTGCTGTGTTTATCTCAAGTTTTGGCACTATGGAGCTTCAGGGGTGAGCCAGGAAGTCTCCATGTACGCTTGGAGATCCATCACCATATGGTTAGTTTTAGCTTCTTAGCAGCCACACAGTTACGGTTGTTAAGATCATATTAATCAATTACAGATGGAATATTCCTTACAGTTCATATAAAAATACGGAGAAAATTAAAAAAGGAACAAATGATATTCAACTCATTGGGCATGTGTAAGAGGAAATGTAAATTACTGCTGCCTATTAATGTGGGAAATCCACAAGGAGACATTTTTTGTGCTGTACACACATTCAAGTACGTTCTCATTGGCATGGTTACTGTGCTACACCTGCTACATTCAGCCCACTACATTATAATAACCCCCAGCACAGTATATATCCGGAGACAAATTATCTCTTCTTTTAAAACCTTGCAGCACTACCAATAATTGGCAAAATTAGGTAATTGTCCATCTGTCTTTGAGAACTGGAAATGGTTTTAATTTAAGCGGTCAGTAAAAGGTTGTCATGTGAAAGTGATGAATTTCAAATATCAGGTTTAACAAGCATCTGATTACATCTTAATCCAGTGAGCAGACTGGCTATTAACTAATTGGTGTTAAGGGATACACTTGCAAAGGGGTAGATCACTATTAAACACATGACCACATCTTCACCCTCGGTCACGTTATGCTGAATGGGTTATTTGTCATACAAAAGTACTCAAGCAAAGCTAAAAGGGACAAACAGCAGAATAAGGAGTGTTCAGTGAGAGATCATAAGCAGTGACAAGAGTGTGCGATATGAAAAACAAGTCATACAAATATAAAAATACTCACTTCAACACTTGTAAACCTTCATCTCATTAAGTGATTCATACAATAACATCATAATCCATATCAGAGCGTCTGTGACACAAACAGAAATAACACAAAGACTGAAACGTTATTATTTCTTTCCCTGGATGTTTGGTTTGTTCTACTAGGAAGAGACAGGGATTTGGGGGGGAAAGAGTGCAATGAACATTGAAGAGAAAAAAGGTGTGCACCAGCAGAAAAATAGGGTTCAATGATTTCCACTGAAATGTAGATTAGAAATTTGTATTCAGGACACACTATAGGATCAGGCTGTAAAGGCCACCATCAATAGCAGCGCAGGAAGGTAAAGAGACACAAGAAATCGATAGAAAAATTCAGATTATTTTTATGTGAATTGCTTCTTGTGCTGTTTTGGTTTGTTATTGACTTATATGACTATAGTCTTCAAGTTTTAAAACAGCATCACTCGATCTCGTTTCAGTGACTTTCTCTAACATCTTCAGCCTGTTGTTTTCAGTTCACTGTTTATATATATTCAGTATCCATGGCAACAATGATCAAAACGTCATATATATTGAGTTACAGAAAAAGAATAACTAGAAAGATGCATTAAGTATTTTATAGCTGTTGTTATAATTATATGAAACTGTATTTTAACTATGAACAGCAGAAACAGAAATGTCGTCCTACAAAATGTTTTTGCGGACTCTGTTGCACTTCTAGTAAACGTTACCAACACTAATAAACATGATTTCTTCTCTCTATCGGCTGTTACATATTTGCTTAAAAGTCACACGAACTAGACTCTTTCCAAGTCTACTGTATTTATAAAAATCTCATTCCATCAGAAAATGACTCAATATTCCCCCGGCTCTCTGGACTTCCTGGTGCAGGTCCTCCTCCTCCTGTTTCTTCATGCCTTTTGCATTTGTCAGAATGGTACACTAAACAGAGAAAAGGTCCAACTGGGTGCAGAGTTGCTAACATTGTTTTAATGTTTGTATATGTCCTCAGGTTAAAACCCTAATGCCAAAAACGCCATTTTTACAAAAAATATGTGTTTATTGTTACCTACCTACTCATAACTACCTTTTTTTTCTTTAGTGCAGGTGGTGGGAGAGAGGAG